GCTGCCTTTAATGTTTTATTGTCTACATGTAGTGTTCTGCATTCTGTACACTTCTGTTGCATTTTATGAGATGGCAGTATATAAATACTTCTATAGATAAATAGAAATGGCAAGTCCCAGGCAGTTGGTCCATGTAGCTCAGTATCGCCTCCTCTGACTGGGAGTGGCTCTCCAGGGGTTAAAAAGCAGATTAGACAAGTTCATAGAGGGCAAGAGTATTGGTGACTACTAGTCATTGTGACTGTGTTGTGTTCTTCCTCCAGGACCAGAGGCAGCAGTCTCTGAATGCCAGTTGCTGGGGAACAACAGGCGAAAGGACTGCTGTGTTCATGTCTTGCATTGTCAGCTTTCCAAAGTCACCTTGCTGGAAACAGGACTTTGGACTGGACAGCCCCTTGGTCCTTACTCAGCAGAGCTCTTGCAAGCGCTGTTTTCTGCACCTCTGGTTCCTTGCAAATGCCTCTTGTCAAAACTACCGTATTTTTCCGTGTATAAGACTAGGTTTTTTTAACCAAAAATTAGGTTTGCAATTGGGGCTCATCTTATACATGGGTATTGGCTGGGGGGTGTTTTCTTAATTTGGACTCCCCCAAAATAGGGGACGTCTTATACTTGGGGAGGTCTTATACACGGAAAAAATAACGGTATTTGGCATGAAAAGTGCCCCAGCTTCTATTGCTTCAGTCACATACAGAGCTAAAGTTTAGGCAGTGTTTTTCATTTGTTGGGTCCATTAGGACACAGTCGCCACTGGTTTCTTTCCTGCTGTCCCTTGATACCTTCACTAGGAAGCAAAAATGCAAGTTGTCTGTTGAGTTTGACAGAACTGTTCTCAGGTTATGACTTAAAACAGCCGCAGTGGTTGCCAGTTTGTTCCCAATACAGTGGGTACCTTGGTTCTCAAATGCCTTGGTACTCAAAACAACTTGGAACTAAACACAGTAAACCTGGAAAGTAAGCGTCCTGGTTTGCGAACTTTTTTGGAAGCCAAAACGTGCACCGTTTTTGAGTGCCCACACTTCCGTTTTGAGTGTTACGCTGAGGTCTGGTCCTGTTTTTGCTATTTATTTGCGTTGTTTGTTGCTTTTTCGTGGACTGTGTGGAACCCAGTTCAGTTTACTGGAACTGTGTGACTGCAGTACATTGTTTATTGCTTTCATTTATGGATCAAATGGTCTGTTAGATAGTAAAAATCATGTTAAATTGCTGTTTTAGGAGTTGTTTTTAAAGGTCTGGAATGGATTAATCCATTTGTATTACTTTCTATGGGAAGCGTGCCTTGGTTTTGGGAATGCTTTGGTTTTGGAACGGATTTCCGAAACGGATTAAGTTTGAGAACCAAGGTATACACTGTACCTGAAAGACCATCTTGTTCCCTGCAGACCCCTTGGGGGTTATGATTGGCAGAGGGGGCCCCACTGGTGTTCCAGTGCCCTCAGAATTTTGCAGCAGTGGCAGCCCTGGAGAGGGCATTCTTTTTGGGGGGCCCTAAGTGGTGGAATTCCTTCCCTACTGAATTACTAATCTTCATTGAACAGTTTTCAGTGAATGCTGAAGGCACACTTCTTTACCTTGGCTTTTGACATCTGAGATGTATATGTTTAGGACCCACCTTATTTCTGTGATTATAAGTTGCTTTAACCTTTTTTTGATGTGTTCTAATTTTTTAATTCATGCCTGAATAAGAAACAGCCTCCTAGGATGCGCATCTGACCCTTTGGCAGGCATCTCACTCCACTGTGCTTTTTCTCAAACATGACCTCTTAAAATGTTTTAATGACTGCTGTTTCGACAAGTTGCTTTTAAAATTTGCTTCATTTAAAAATTGTGAGGTGCTTTCTGTAAAGTATATCAGTTATCATAATTGATATAAAGGTAAAGGGACCCCTGACAATTAAATCCAGTCGTGAATGACTCTGGGGTTGCAGCACTCATCTCGCTTTACAGGCTGAGGGAGCCGGCGTTTGTCCGCTTCCGCAGACAGTTTTTCTGGGTCATGTGGCCAGCATGACTAAGCCGCTTCTGGCGAAACCAGAGCAGTGCACGGAAACGCCATTTACCTTCCTACCGGAGCGGTACCTATTTATCTACTTGCACTGGCGTGCTTTCGAACTGCTAGGTTGGCAGGAGCTGGGACCGAACAACGGGAGCTCACCCTGTTGCGGGGATTTGAACCGCCAGCCTTTTGATCGGCAAGCCCAAGAGGCTCAGTGATTTAACCCACAGCGCCACCCACATATAAGTTGCTGTAATTAATGTGATTAGGGAAGGCACTGCTAGGGCGAAAAGCAAAGTACCCCCCCCCTTAACTGGGCAGTATATTTAATATATACCCCCCCTGTGCTTTCTTGAATTCTAGGGTTGCAGAACAACGTGGCAAAAAGACAGTTTCTCCTGGAGAGATTATTGGATGCAGTTAAACAGGTAAGAAGTTGGGCCTACAAAGAGGAGAGGGTGCCTCCATACTTGAAACCTTTCTAATAATAGTTGGAGCTGTCTCATTTTGATGCAATTCTAAATAGCTGTGTTGCAATATGTGTGCTTGTTTTGTTTTTGCAATGCAGTCATGTTCCCAAATAATCCTGGACCTTAAGGTCTCTTCCAGATGATCTGTTTATTGAGTTTTTACTGAGCTGTTTACTTGCATAAAGCTTGGGGGGAGGTTAAATGCTGCCCAGTCTGGTTGTTATGGAACAGGCATAGGCAAAATCCGGCCCTCCAGATGTTTGGGACTACAATTCCCATCATCCCTAGCTAACAGGATCAGTGGTCAGGGATGATGGGAATTGTAGTCCCAAATATCTGGAGGGCCAGAGTTTGCCTATGCCTGTTATGGAACATTCGTTCTGGGGGTTTTTTGAGCAGAGGTTATATGACGACAATCATTCATCCTGATTTGGCTGTGTGGTGCATATATGTCTTGCCACTAATTACCCCTTACTTTTCAGTATATTCCTCTCCTAACAGCAAAAAGTCAGTTTTTTTTTTTAAAAAGTGTTTGATGTATCTGGGCAATGGAACACTTCAATCCACTTAGATTTCTAGTATGCACTTGAATACCTTCTGCAAAATACTGACAGGCTGGAAGCACCCTCACTTTCCTTTGGCAAATCACCACTTAGTTTGAATAGCAATTGGCCAGGACAAGTAAATCCGTAGAGCTCCAGAAATTTACTTGCCAGATCATCTGCGCTCATGGCTCCTTTCCTGTATTCAAAGTTAGTTGCAGAGGATTTGGAGAAGTTTGGCAGCTTTGGCCACATTTCTCATGCGGAAGCAATAGCAGAGACACTTGAACTGGCACCTCTTCTTTCTTTTTTGGCCTTCTGCAAATTTCTTTGCACTTTTATTTTGAGTACTTACTGGCTGCTCTTCAAGGAAAAGCTCCCAGCGCAGCTCGGAAAAAGAGGCAGTAACAATAAAGCTGTGGTTTGAAGCCAGAAAAGAAAAGAAGTTACACAAGTTCATCTAGCCATGAAACCAGGTTTGGATAACTTTTAGCCTTCTCAATGTGGTGCTTCAGCTTGCATTAGTTCCAGCCAGCATAGCCCAGCTGTCAGGGATGATGGGAGGCGTAGGCTAGCAGCATCTGGAATGGATGAGATTATTCACCTCTGCCCTAAATCATGGGTAGGCAAACTAAGGCCCGGGGGCCGGATCCAGCCCAATCGCCTTCTAAATCCGACCCGCGAACAATCCGGGAATCAGCGTGTTTTTACATGAGTAGAATGTGTGCTTTTATTTAAAATGCACCTCTGGGTTATTTGTGGGGCATAGGAATTTGTTCATTTCTCCCCCTTCAAAATATAGTCCGGCCCCCCACAAAGTCTGAGGGACAGTGTACCGGCCCCCTGCTGAAAACATTTGCTGACCCCTGGGGCCTAAATGATGGTCAGGGGTGCCATAGGCAACACTGGCCTCTGCCCCTCTTTCCTTCCCTCCCTCCTCTGATGCCCTCTTGCACCTCTGTCAGGCCACTAAGCCTGGGGGCATCCGCTTCCCAGGCTCCTGGGGGGGGCGGCATGAGGAGGCACCTCTCTTTAGGGTGGGGGGTGGCAGCTCAGAGACCAGGAGCGGCAGCAGCGGCTGCCTGGAGGACTCCCAAGAAGAGGGGAGAGGAGAGGAGGCTGAGGAAACACTCCAAAAAGGAGGGTGTTCGAAAAAGGTGAGAGACTGCCATCTCTGCAGGCTGGGGGGGGGGTACATACAGTGGTACCTCGGATTACATACGCTTCAGGTTACAGACTCTGCTAATCTTGAAGTAGTACCTCGGGTTGAGAACTTTACCTCAGGATGAGAACAGAAATCGCGGGGCAGTGGCATGGGAGGCCCCATTAGCTAAAGTGGTACCTCAGGTTAAGAACAGTTTCAGGTTAAGTACGGACCTCCGGAACAAATTAAGTACTTAACCTGAGGTACTACTGTAATTGAGATCCTGAGCCCCACAGGGGTGCGCAGAAAGAATGCAATGGTAAAGAATGGTAAAGGGAGCCATGGACTCAAAAAGGGTGAAAACCCTTGAGCTAAGCCAATACATGTGGACTTTTGTAAAATGGAACGGCAGTTTGATTTTACAGCTAAACCTCATGCTGCTTTCACCTACATAGTTCCAAAATCTTTCTTTTTTTTAAATTGGCGTTTTAACTAAAGGTGTATGGTGACTCAATTAAGTTGAGTATCAACATATTTAAAACTCTCCTCATCACGCCATTGATGCTGACGTATCTGTTCATTACAGTGCCAGATCAGATTTGGAGGGAGGAAGGAGATTGCTTCCGATTCGGACAGCAGGTAAGTCTGAAAGGATATTGAATAAACTCACCTATTTTAAATGCTACCTGCCCTGGGATTTATTCACTGAAAAACAAATGAGCATGAAATCCGGTATGTAAATTCTCCAAACAAACAGATGAGAGATGAGGATGGCAAAGGCAGGTGAGACGGAAGACTAAAATTAGCTGCACAGGGAATCAGGTACTGGGAAAAGAGAGCAAGTTTACCTGGCGACACTTCTCCGTGGTGATGTCTTCCTGCATCGTTACCACATTGGGAATGGGCTTTATGGGAACCAGGTCAACCCCTGAAATCAAAGACACGGGAGG